TAGAGATGTGACTGTTGGTGATGATGGAGTGTTGAGGATACAGGGCCGGATTTGCGTGCCCAATGTGGATGGGCTTCGGGAGTTGATTCTAGAGGAGGCCCATAGCTCGCGGTATTCCATTCATCCGGGTGCCGCGAAGATGTGTCATGATTTGAGGCAGCACTATTGGTGGAGAAGAATAAAGAAAGATATTGTGCGATTTGTAGCTCGGTGTCTCAATTGTCAGCATGTGAAATATGAGCATCAGAGACCGGGTGGCTTGCTACAGCAGATGGATATTCCTGAGTAGAAGTGTGAGAGAATCACTATAGACTTTGTTGTTGGACTTCCACGGACTTTGAAGAAGTTCGATGCTATTTGGATGATTGTGGATCGACTGACAAAGTTCGCGCATTTCATTCCTGTGTGTACTACCTATTTTTTAGAGCGGTTGGCAAGGATCTATATTCGAGAGATTGTTCGTTTGCATGGTGTCCCAATTTCCATCATTTCAGATAGAGGTATTCAGTTTACTTCGCAGTTTTAGAGGGCCGTGCAGAGAGAGTTGGGTACTCATGTAGTATTGAGCACAGCTTTTCATCCTCAAACAAACGGACAGTCCGAGCGTACTATTTGGATATTGAAGGACATGTTGCGTGCTTATGTCATTGATTTTGGAGGATCATGGGATGAGTTCCTACTGCTTGCAGAGTTTGCCTACAACAACAGCTACCAGTCGAGTATTCAGATGGCTCCATATGAGGCTTTGTATGGGAGGCGGTGTAGATCTCCAGTTGGTTGGTTTGAGCCTGGTGAGGCTAGGCTATTGGGGACTGATTTGGTACAGGATGCTTTGGAAAAGGTGAAGGTGATTCAGGAGAGGCTTCGTACAGCACAGTCGAGGCAAAAGAGTTATGCTGATAGGAAGGTTCAAGATATGTCCTACATGGTTGGCGAGAAGGTTCTGTTGAAGGTTTCACTCATAAAGGGTGTTATGAGGTTTGGGAAGAAAGGGAAATTGAGTCCTCGGTTCATTGGGCCTTTTGAGGTGCTCCGGAGGATTGGGGAGGTGGCTTATGAGCTTGCTTTACCACCCAACTTGTCGAGTGTGCATCCGGTATTTCATGTTTCTATGCTCCAGAAGTATATTAGGGATCCGTCTCATGTTTTGGATATCAACACGGTTCAGTTAGATGATGAGTTGACCTATGATGTAGAGCCAGTAGCTATTTTGGGTCGTCGGGTTCAAAAGTTGAGGTCAAAGGATATAGCGTCAGTGAAAGTGTAGTGGAGAGGTCAGCTTGTGGAGGAGGCTATCTGGGAGACCAAGCAGGAGATGCGGAGTAGATATCCTCACCTGTTTGAGGCTTCAGGTATGTTTCTTGACTCGTTCGAGGATGAACGTTTGTTTAAGTTGGGGAGGATGTGACGACTCAGCCAGTCGTCTCATGAGTTACCGCTATGTTTTCCCCTATTTCTGCTTCTTTATGCTTCGTTATCCATGTTTTATGTGATTGGGTTGATTAGTTTGAGTTCGGAGAGGATTTCGTAAGAAATGAGACACTTAGTCTCTTTTAAGAAGGTTTAAGTTGGAAAAGTCAACTAGATGTTGATTTATATGTTAGAGGGCTCAGATGTGAGTTCTGGTGGTTCGGTTAGCTTCGGGAGGTGATTTGTCACTTAGGAGCGTGATCGAAATGGGTCCTGGAGGTTTGGAGTAGAATTAAGCTTGAATTAGCGAAGTGTTCATTTTGGCGATTTCCGGTTGTAGGCGAGATTTTGATATAGGGGTCAGAATGGAATTCCGAGAGTTGCAGTAGCTTTGTACGACATTTGGGATGTTTGTGTAAAATTTCAAGTCATTCGGACGTGGTTTGCTTGGGTTTTTTATCGAAAGCGTATTTCGGAAATATTTTAAAAACTTAGGTTTGAATCCGAGGTATTTTGGCTGATTTGATGTCGTTTGAGGTATTTTGATGATTGGAACAAGTTTGAATAAGGTATTGGGTCACGTTTGTGCTTTTGTTTGAGGTCCCGGGGGCCTCGGTGTGATTTCAAATGGTTAACGGGAAGATTTGAGACTTGAGAGATTGCAGAAATTGCTGCTTCTAATGTTTTCGCACCTGCAGTTTGGGGGCCGCATGTGCGAGGGAGAAGCCGCAGAAGCGGTTTAGGAGGGGAGTGTCAGGAAACCGCAAATGCGGTTGTGGGGGCCGCAAATGCGGAAGAAGGATCGCAGATGCGGCAGTGGCCGACTTTAGTGATTTTCGCAGAAACGGAGTGTTAATCGCAAATGCGGTACCGCAGAAGCAGATTTTGGACCGCATATGTGGGTATGCCTGGGCAGAACATATAAGTTATTTCATTTTCGCGAGTTTGAGTTATTCCACCATTTTTGACTCCGGCTTGAGAGCTTTTGGACGATTTGGAAGAGGGATTTCAAGGGAACTTCGTTAAGGTAAGGATTTTGGACCTAAAACAAATTTCAATGGTAGTATTTCATGGATTAAGACTGAAATTAAGGGAATTAAAAAGGCTAAAAATGGGGATTAGGGCTTGAGTTTAAGAAGCCTTGAATTGAGGATTTGAGGGGTCATTTGAACTCCGATTTTGGTATTCTTGATATGTATAGATTCGTGGGGAGATGAGGAATTTATTGATGCAAAAAATTCTGAGTTTTGAGAAGTGGGCCGGGGGCTCGAATTTTGGTAATTTCGGGATTTGTGCCCTTTATTGATTTTTTTCGCTTGGGCCTTGTTCCCTTAGCATATTTTGATGTTCTCATTCTGATTTTGGATATATTCGATGCGTGTGGACGCCGATTCGAGGGGCAAAGGCATTGCGAGCTAGAGATTTAGCCGATTCGAGGTGAGTAATGATTGTAAATGATGCTCTGAGGGTTTGAAATCCCGGATTGCACATCGTAGTGCTATATTGAGGTGAGGCACACACTTGATGACGAGCGTGGGGTCGTGCACTATTGGAGATTGTGACTTGATTCGTCCCAATTGATGATTTTACCGCGTATTTGATTGAAAACTATTTGCTATCATCATTATTTGGGCTGAATGCCATATTTAGGCTTCGTGCCAACTATTTGAACGCTTCGGGGATTTTTTTTTTTACCATTTCCTCACTGTTTTGACTTATTTCTTGAACTCAGTCTCGTTATTTTTCCACCGTTTTACCACTCATCCATTTTTACTCAGTTTTGAGACTTAAATGATATTTTAAATGATGTTTTGGGCTGAGAGATACTGTTTTACTATTGCCCGAGGGGCTTGTGATGATTTTCGGACTGAGTAAGGCCGAGGGCCTAGTTATGAGGATATACCGGTACTGATATGAGGCCGAGGGCCTGAGATACATATATACGCCATGAGGTGGAGGCCGAGGGCCTAGACTTGATGCCACGAGATGGCTTGATATTGCGCTTGGGCTATAAGGGGGCCCTCCCGGAGTCTGTATACCCCCAGTGAGCGCGGGTACCTATTGTGATGTGAGATTGAGACCGAGGGGCTGGATTGTTTTGAGATTGAACCCGAGGGGCTGGTACTATTCTAAGATGTTGCCCGAGGGGCGGATTTGTTGATACTGTGTCCGAGGGGCGAACTTCTATTTATTTACTTACCTGTCAATTACTTGTTTTACTTGTTGAAAAGGGATTTTTACTTGACTTTCCACTGTTTTACTGTTTTAAGTGATTCTTTTACTGCTTCATTATGTAATGCCTTGTGCCTTACGCGTTTTCTTACCTTCAATCATTATTTATATTTATTACTCAATGGGTCAGAGTATTAACATTACTCCCTACACCATGTGTGCAGATTCAGGCGTCGCTGGTTCCGCTCCTGAGTGCTAATTCCTCCAGTTCCAAGCGGTATTCGGAGACAACGAGGTAGCTATTGGCGTCTGCAGCCCCGTGTCTCTACTATCTTGTCATTTCTATTTCCTTCAAACATTTGTACTAGATATTGAATTTAGCAGACTTGTATCATGGCCTGTAGATGCTCGTGACTTGTGACACCCCGGTTAGGACTGTGTCAGGTTGGATTTTTCCGCATTGTTATCGTTATTTCCGCTATTCAGGGTTATTAATCATGTTTAGACTATTTTTGTGTTGCTTAACTGTTTTAAAAGGCGAATTGGGTTAAACTGGCTGGTCTTGTCTTCACGACAGGCGCCATCACGACCAGGTTCGGGGTTGGGGTCATGATAATAAATATATCCATATTTTGAGTAATCATCTGTGAAAGTCACAAAATACTCAAAACCGCCTCTTGCTTGGACATTCATTGGACCACACAAATCAGAATGAATTAACTCTAATTTATCACTTGCTCGATTTCCTTTTGAGGGGAAATATGTTTTGTTATTTTTCCTTCTAAACAAGATTCACAAGTTAGTAGTGCTTCCACTTTTAATAAACTTAAAGGTTCATCCTTAACCAACCTTGAAATTTTGTTTAGATTTATATGACCCAAACACAAGTGCCATAAATATGTTTCACTCAATTCAGAAGAACGTTTTCTCTTATTTGGTAAATTAATATAATTCAGTTCTTTAGGTTATAACGGTTTAGAAATAGAGTCAACAATAAAAAGACCATTAATCAATGTAGTCGAAGAGAGATAACATTTATTATGACTAATAACACATTTATCAATATCATGAAAATTAATGTCATAACTATTTCTCATAGCACTAGAAACTGAAATTAAATTCCTTCTACATATATTGTGTCTTTTAAAGCTAATACTCTATCACTACCAAACGAAATACTAGTTACTATTATTTAGAAGCCGCACTTATGGTGTACGAACATTGGGACGAACACTGCAATTTCAAAAAATTTAAGAGTAAATAGGTAATTCTTTATACCTTCTCAAGGGACACGTGTGCTACTATTAATTTGACCAAATTAACCACGTGTACTGCACTTACATTCAATTATAGTCTATAGTAGTACATCATAACTCATAATTTATCTCTTATTTAGAAGACCATCTCTGTTTGTGAGTATCTCAGCTTTTTTCTACTCTTTTTCTGTTCTTCAATCTTTTAAATTTTAAAAATTTTGTGGTTGCTTATGGCGTTAACTCTACTGTCCTTGTGATTTTTAGTAGATTCTACTTCATTCTCCTTCTTTCTTTGTTGCACCCATTTCTTGGTGATGTGATGTTGATAGATCCAATTTGATTTTCTTCATATCTTAGATTTTTCGCTCTCTGCAATTTTCCTCTTGCTTAGCTACTTTAAGAGATTTGAGTTTTCTCCTATTTTTTATTTTTTTTAATTTCATGGATTCTGTCTCTTTCTAATTTTATCACTTGCTTGATACTAATGTTCCAGCCTCTGTTGTGTTTGTTTTTACATTCTTTTGAATAGTTTCTTGCTAGATCTACATACATGTCAGAAGTTCTATCTAATTTTCATATGCATGCTTGGAAATAAATACTTAGGTGCGTGTTTTTTGTTTCTAATTTTGGTTGTGTAACGGTGTTTTTGTGTGCAAATTTTATTATTTGAAGTTGCCTATTTAAGGTGAATTCAAAAAGTTTATTTTTCTGATTTTCTTTAGATTTGATTTCTTGGTTCTTAAAAAAGTGGATCTAAAGTAGTGAGATACTTCTGCTCTCCAGTTTTTGTTCTCTCTCTTATGAGTTTTGTGTAATATGTGATTCCTATAAATACCTCTCACCATTACCATACAGTTGTAGAGGTATGCACATAAGGTGTTTGATAAGGAAATCTTTTGCGAGGCACTATTTGGTTCTTAAACTCTTCATTATTTCAATGTATTTCATGCATTGCAACAGACATGGGGTGGTCTTCTGTTTTGAAACCATGACAAGCATAAACCAATGACCTGATCGAGAAAAAAGTCATTGGCGAATTTGAGAGGAGCTGACTCGATGAACAGGAAAACTACTATCAATTGATAGGAATCATCATGCATAATCAATAAACCATGGTAAACATCAAAATGTGCATATCTCATGATGCACTATGCTATTCTGGAAAAGATCTATTATTGGGCTCAATTCATGATTGATACAAATAGGAGTTCATTCTTTTGAATGTGGCAATGATGCTGGTCATGGCTATTTAACTGATGCACAAAGCGTTATAATTTTTTTTAAAGTTATTGTAGCTACATATAGTGAATATGATATCAAAGTCATTTGTTTCAAGGGTTGGGCACTTGGGCATGTCACACAACAAAATGATGAAGGAATTTGCATTGGAGGTTTGAGAAGAATGCAAGTCGATATTATTCTTACTTTCTTTTTTCCTGGTATTTGTTTCTTCTTTTCATTTTTGTTTTGGTACTGCTTCATGTTGTGTGGAGTATTTTGTAACTATGAACAAATTATTCCTTTCTTCAAAGTTATGTGAAATATGTCTTGAATCATCAGATCCACACTCCAAAGAAGAATGTGAAGAAGGAAAAAGAAAATTTACTAACTTGCTAAACCATATATAATGACGCATTGTAAACTTCTGTTATGTTCTTTTCTATGTGTCTATGTGATCTTTGGTGACATTTAGGGAAAACATGATTACTATAAGAGCACAAACTAACTCATATTTTGTTGGTTAGTCTTATTGAGCAAGAAATTCGTTTATACCTATTTGTACTTTGAAGTTGTACTCCACATTCTTTAGTATAATCATGTTTATTAGATGTGGGTATATTTTTCACCATACATTTGTGTTTATATATCTATCAGTTTCTTGCTTGGAATTAAAGTTTAGTTGATGTTATAGTATAAAAGTATAAGGAGATTTAAGAAATCATGCTCAATATATAGAGTAGTAAATAGTTACAACAATATTATGGTTCAACTTTCTGTACTACAGAATTAAGTGATTGGCTTAACGAGTTTTGTCAAAGGCGAAAAGCTCTAAAAAACATTCCATACGTATTGGGGCTTTAAGCGCAAAACGCAATTGAAGTGTGGGTTTTAGTAAAAAAAAAAGGTGGAATAAAGGAAAAAAATAAAAATATATATGTAATTTAGGGAAAAAGTAAGTCTTTTCCTTAATAACTAATATACTTATTTGCCAATTATATTTGTTGTTTAGTACCGTTCCATTCAAAATAGAATTCATGGGCAATGAGTGTTCACGCCTTAGTGCTTTGCATACACTAGAGCACAACTTAAGCGAGAGGAAGCACCATCCGTGAGCGTTTTTGAGCTTCAGGGCTAAAGCGTGCCCCTTTGACAACACCGGGCTTAACCACAACATCTTGGTGGTAAATTGAATTCAGAGTTTATTTGTGCCGCAGAGTTATGCGATTTCATGTGTTTTATCTACCTTTTGGATAATTAGTGTTAGAATATTATTATTAATCTTTATATTATGTGATGTATGAATTCATATTCATGTTGTGGTATCGTGTCAATTGTCAATAGCTTCTCCTAAAATGCGAAGTCTACCTTTTGATCTATATAATGAATGGCCTCGATCTTCTGTTGGAAGGTAATATCTCTATTTCTACGCAATAACTCTTATTTCATTGCTAAAATATGTATTTTTGGTAGTTAAGTGTTGATGATAATAGTGAAGATATATTAATGAGATGGCTCATTAATACTTGTGGAACATGATTGTATTTGATGGTCATAATTGAATACCCATGCAAAGTTCATGCTACTTCTCAACAGACAAGCAGTTGATCAGATGTGCTTAATCCACCGATTTATTGTTTGAGAAATTTGAGAAGCCTAAAATATCAGGTATAGTTCTACTGAGACAGTTCTACTTATCGTTTTATCATTGTGGGTTGGCACGGACAAACTTGATGATGTTCTGTTCCCTTGCATGTAACAGGTTGGTAATTTGAAGGCAACCGATTCTTTATGTTTTCTCCCTCGATTGAAACTGTCTAAAAGGTAATTAATTTTTTTTACAATATTATTTTTTGCTGAGGAGAAGTTCATGTAGTACTTTTCACAATAAAGATAGTTACTTTGAACAAAAAGTAGTTCGTATAATAGTACTTTTCACAATAAAGACTGTTCTTTGGTGAAAAAAAATTCTTAGTTTCACTACAAAATACAAAATATTTTTTTCCATAGTTCAAAATCTTAAGGTTTAAAAATATATTAAAGATTTGATTATATAACATTCTTCACGTGAAGTTTATCAGGAGAAAGAAAATATAAAATCTTTGAGTGTGCCCTACATTTTGATCAAGGTGCAATTACCCAGTGTTTTGTATAGCGTGCGGCGACAAATAGCGAAGAGGGCCCGCTTCAATGAGGCGATAGACGCGCAGCAAAGTGCTTGCCTTTTTTATGTGAAGCGACAATTTATACAAAAAAATAAAATATTATATATATAACTAAAAACTCAATAACAATGATATATTAATAAATATATCAATTCACAATATGCAATTAATTCTACTCTATAACTGAAAAAGGAGGAAATTTCAGGTTTGAAGTTTTGAAGAAGTTCTTTGCCTCTGCCTCTACAAAAACAGGGCACAGTACTGCTGCTCAATAAAAAATAGAGCAACAAAAAAAGAAGAAGAAGAGAAGACCAGAAGAAGAACGGAAAAAACAGAGAATAAAAAGACTCTCTGTCCTTTTTTTGTTGCACTGTTGCTCGACAACAAACAGAGGAAAAAATTAGAAAGATGAAGAGAAGATCAGAAGAAAAGAAAAACGAAAAAAAACAGAGTAACAGACAGACTCTCTGTTCTGCACTGTTGCTCGGCAAAAAACAGAGCAATAAATAAAAAGAAGATGTCACGACCCTAACCCCGAACCCGGTCGTGATGGCGCCTCTCGTGAAGACAAGGCCAGCCAGTCTAACCCAATTCATCTTTTAAAGCAGTTAATTATCACAAATATAGTCTAAACATGGTTTAATAATACTAAATAGCGGAAAATATAGATAAAAATGTGGAAATCCAGCCCGACACAGCCCTAACCGGGGTGTCACAAGTCATGAGCATCTATGAGTCATAATACAACAACAACAACAACCCAGTATAATCCCACTAGTGGGGTCTAGGGAGGGTAATATGTACGCAGACCTTACCCCTACTCCGAGGGGCAGAGAGGCTGTTTCCAGGAGACCCTCGGCTTAAGAAAGCGACAAGAGACGATATTTTAGTACTATCAATAGACTCATAATAAAATAACATAAAATAACATACCATAACATAAAATAAAAATAACATCAATATAAGAAATATAGGAAGTACGAAAAAGATGGAAGATATAATAATATCCAGCAGATAAAGCCCTGCATCAGTAGCTGACCAGTAGCATCCTAAGACTAACTCCTAACTGGATAGTCTCACTTTAGTGCGCTGTAGAAATACTCACAACTTCCCCCTAGCCTACAACCTTAATGCTCGACCTCCACAACTCCCTGTCAAGGGCCATGTCCTCAGTAATCCTAAGTCGCGCCATTTCCAGCCTGATCACCTCTCCCCAATACTTCTTAGGTTTCCCTCTACCTCTCCTTGTGCCCACCACAGCCAGTCANGATGTGTGAGTTCTTAACCGGCCAACACTCGGTCCCATACAACATGGAAGGCCTAACCACTGCTTTATAAAACTTACCTTTTAGTAACATTGGCACTTTCTTGTCACACAGGACTCCCGACGCTAACCTCCACTTCATCCACCCCACCCCTGTACGGTGTGTAACATCCTCGTCGATCTTCCCGATCACCTGAATAACTGACCCAAGGTACTTGAAACTACTCCTCTTAGGAATGACTTGAGAGTCAAGCCTCACTTCCACTCCCGCTTCCGTCGGCTCGGCCCCAAATTTGCACTCGAGGTATTCTGTCTTCGTCCTGCTCAACCTGAAGCCTTTAGACTCAAGGGCCTGTCTCCAAACCTCTAGCCTCTCGTTGACGCCGCCTCGTGTCTCATCGATTAGAACTATGTCATCAGCAAATAGCATGCACCATGGCACATCTCTTTAAATATGATGAGTTAGTGCATCCATCACCAGGGCAAATAGGAAAGGACTGAACGCAGACCCTTGGTGTAACCCCGTAACAACCGAAAAATGCTCGGAGTCGCCTTCTGCTAAATCCAATAACTAGTACCATGTCCGTAAGGAATATAAAAGACAATATAATAGAGCCACAGGGCTGTGGACGTCAACAGCTACCTCGTAATCCCTGAAAGCCACCTGAAACTAGAGGAATCAACACTCAGAAGCGGAACCAGCAACGCCTGAATCTACACACATGGTGCAGGAAGTAATGTGAGTACTCTGACCTAGTTAGTAATAAATATAAATAATGACTGAAGATAAAAAAAAATCACGTAAAAACACAAGGCATTCCATACTGAAGCAGTAAAATCACTTTAAACAGTAAAGCAGTGAGAAATCAAGTGAAAATCCCTTTTTCCAACAAGTAAAACAAGTAGTTTACAAGTGAGTAACAAAATGGAAATTCACCCCTCGGGCATGGTATCAACAAATCCGCCCCTCGAGCTCAATCTCAGAACAGTACTAGCCCCTCGAGCTCAATCTCAGAGCAGTACCAGCCCCTCGGGCTCAATATCAGAATAGTAATAGCCCCTCGAGCTCAATATCAGAACAGTAATAGCCCCTCAGGCTCAATATCAAATCAGTAACAGCCCTTCGGGCTCAATATCAGAACAGTAATAGCCCCTCGGGCTCAATATTAGATCACAATGGGTATCCGCGCTCAATGGAGGTGTACAGACTCCAGGAGGGGCCCTTTACGGCCCAAGCACAATATCAAGCCATCTCGTGGCATCAAATCTAGGCCCTCGGCCTCATATCAATCAAGCCACCTCGTGGCGTATATAAGTATCCCATGCCCTCGGCCTCATATCAGTACCAGTGTATCCTCACAACTATGCCCTCGGCCTTTAATCAATCCAAAATCATCACAAGCCCCTCGGGCAATAGTAAAACAACATTTCTCAGCCCAAAACATAATTTAGAATATCATTTAAATCTCAAAACTGAGTAAAATGATTGAGTAGTAAAACAGTGGAAAAATAACAGAACTGAGTTCAAGTAATAAGTTAAAACAGTGAGGAAATGGTAGTAAAAATCCCCGAAGGATTCAAATAGTTGGTACGAAGCCCAAATATGGCAATTATCCCAAAGCATAATGAAAACAAATAAGGCTCAGTCAAATACGCGGTAAAATCATCAATGCGGGATGGACCAAGTCACAATTCCCAATAGTATACGACCATACACTCGTCATCAAACGTGTGTCTCACATCAATATAGCACTACGATGTGCAATCCGGGGTTTCAAACCCTCATAGCATCATTTACAATCATTACTCACCTCAATCCGAGAAAAATCCTACTTTGAAATGCCTTTTCCCCTCGAATCGGCCTCCAATCGATCCGAATCTAGCCATATTTAATTCAATTCAGTCAATACTAATTATAGGCATTAATTCCATATGAAAATACAAATATAACAAAATCCGAAATTAACCCAAAATTTGCCCGTGGGGCCACGTCTCGGAATCCGACGAAACTCACAAAATCCGACAACCCATTCAACCACGAGCCTAACCATATCAATTTTACCAAAATCCGACATCAACTCGACCCTCAAATCTTCAAATTAAACCAAGAGGGTTTTCAAGATTTTACCAACTAAAATCACCAATTAAATGTTAAAAACAACGACGGATTCGAGTAATTTAACTAAAATTGAGTTAAGAACACTTACCCCGATGTTTTCCTTGAAAATCTCTCAAAATATCGCCTCACCCGAGCTCCCTTGGTCCAAAAATGGAAGAGTGAGACGGGTTTGGACTTTATTCTGCTGCCCAGGGATTTGTTCTTCGCGTTCGCGGTTCTCCTCTCACGTTCGCGAAGAACAAAATTTCAAAAAATCATTTTCCAAACTCTTCTCGGATAGCCTCTAGTATAATGGCCATAACTTTTGCTTTATATATCCAAATGACTAATATAATAAGTTTTTGGAAACTAGATTCAAAGTTCTACAACTTTTGTTTTTGAATCATCTCAAAATTCATTCTAGATTGAGAGATATGAGCCTCCGAAGTAAGACCTGCGTAACAGAATTTCTTCTTCTTCGCGAACGCGAAGAACAAAATCCCAGAAGCCAAATCCTTCTTCGTGAACGTGAGAGGACCCTCGTGGACGCGAAGAACAACACCAAATACCAGCTTCAGCTATTGCAAAACAGCCCGAAATGATCCGAAACCACCCCGAAACACACCCGAGGCCTTCGGGACCTCAACCAAACATGCCAATCAATCTTAAAACATCATTCAAACGTGTTCCAATCTTCATAACACTCAAAACAACATCAAAACACAAATTTTACATCGGATTCAAGCCTAAGAATTCCAAAAACTCTCAAATTATGCTTTCAATCAAAAATTCTATCAAACCTCGTCCGAATGACCTGAAATTTTCACACAAGTCATATTCAACACTACGAAGCTACTCCAACTTCCGGAATTTCATTCCGGCCCTCGGATCAAAATCTCACTATCGAACCGAAAACTTCAAAAATTTAACTTTCGGCTTTTCAAGCCTAAATTAGCTAGAGACCTCCAAAATACAATCTGAACACGCTCCTAAACCCGAAATCACCCAACGTAGCTAATGGAACCATCAGAATTCCGTTCTGTGGCCGTCTTCACACTATTCCGACTACGGTGAAATTTCGAGAACTTAAGCTCTCATTTAAGGACCAAGTATCCCAAAACTCTCCGAAACTCCAGATAATTCCTCTCGGCAACTCACAATAGCAGAAACAACTCGGGAATGCAGTTAATAGGGGATCGGGGCGTAAATTCTTAAAACAACAGGTCGGATCATTACAGAAGAAGAAGGAAAAAAAGAAAGAAAGAGAGGAGAAAGAAGAAGAGAAGCTTACCTAGGCTGGGTAGACTTGGGTGCTCTGTTGTTTGAAGGTTGAAGAAGAAAGAAACGTGAAATCACTGCAAGCCCTAATGTTTTAAGCCCTAATCTGCGCCTTTTTCGTTCTTTTTTTCAAAAAGCGATGCCACAGCTCGCCTCTCGCTACATAGCACCTCTTGCTACACAAGCAGAGGCGCTCGCCTTTTACAATCGCAATGCAACAGAGGAAAAATAGCGCAGGCTGCTCGCATCGCCTCGTCTCACGCTATTAGCGTTGAGGCGAGCGCTATTTATAACACTGCAATTACTATAGCCCTTTGTCAGTTTTTTTGTCAATAAAAAGACTTTATGTCTTTTATTCATTACTGTATCCCTTTATACATCGTATCTATTAGAACACTGAAGTATTTACATGAATGTGCTCCTTTTTCATATGATATCACTGTTAGAACACTAAAGTATTTACATGAATGTACTACTTTTTCATATGATATCCTGGATACTCTTGGAAAATTAATGGAAGTGTGGTTACTAGATGTATAATAGTTGGATTAAAAAATACATAAACAATGACAACTGAATTTTCTTCATGAGAATTTATTAGCTAATTCTAATAATCTCAGGTACATTTGAGCTTATAATATGGTATTAATGTGATTAGGCTATTATTATTGAACCATGCACTTTACGCATCAATCCAGATAAAAAATATGCTCGCTTTGCACTTGAAATATGTCAGCAAGCTGCGACTCTCAGGATTATCATGATAAGAAGTTGCTATTGCTTCCCCAAATCTATCATCAGGTAACTGAGCCTCAAAATTTCAGATGTTAGTAGCAAGAAAAGAAGATAACTTTCAAAGACTGATGACATATTAATGTGACAATAAATATGTGTCATAGATAAAGTGTTGTGCATATTTTTCTGAGTCTTATGAGGCATTTCTTAAACTTTGGATACATGATTCAACAATAAATGAACTCCATATTCAAGTTTCAAAAGAATGCAAATAAGGATATTGCAACTTCTTTAAAATGAAATGGAAACACTTAGCAACAAGAGCAATGCCTTGTGAGATCCATCAATTTGTCATCCTTTTTTCACCCCCTTGACAACTATTTCATATAATTCATGGTTCTTTCTCTTATGCAAAAAGAATTTGAGAATTGTTCCTTACATAGGATAAAGTTTTATGGTCTGTCACTTCAAGTCTGTTGGGACAAATATTGTACCATGTTATTATTTATAAGTGATTCAGAGTTGTCAATATCCTTCTAGCGTTTTCCTGGTTATTGAACATAGTGTCGTAAGATAAATTTTTTTCCTCTACCCATGCTTGATTCCTCTCTGTTTCCAAATACTTTTGGTCTCAACAAAAAAGGACCTCTTGCCGTGCACACTCCTAAAATCTTCTACTGATGGCAAGTAAGTTGATTCTAGCAGTAATATGCCTTTGAAGATGGATGCATCAATCACTTATAAAATATTATCCGATATAGGATTTTTTTAACTAAATTGTTTGTGCACTATATAGACTGAAGCAAATCAGATTGATTAATTCTGTAAATCTTTAGATTAAGATGGACTATAAAACTTTATTGCAAAAAATAGAAATAGAAGGATACTGAAAAGTTCAATGTGTTGGGGCACTTCCAACTCTTTGATGAAAGTAAATGCACTTTAACTTCTTGGGAAAGTGCATTGCCGTGTGTTGCATGATATTTTACAGTTCAATCCTTTTCGAGTTTGCCCTTTACATAGGGAGAATAGGAAAAAAATGATTCATGACTTCAATTTTGGTTGTCCTACTATTATTTATTTCTTTGCTAAATTTGATTTAGTGATGCTATGGAAGAAGTCTAACATATTTTACGACTTAAAGTACTTTTCGTGAATGAACTTAACTATTTTGTTGTAGACGTAACTCTTTAATGGATTGGCTTAGTTTGTTTCCAGTTTTGGTAACAACCAACACATTACATATATGCAGAGGTTTCATGCCACTACAAAGTCGATTTTCGTGCAAGTGTTTCTGCAGTTATATTAAGTAGATTCTTTTAGAAAGAATCTAGGTTCTCTAAGCTATTATGTAAAACGTTCTCTATTAGTTTTTTTTTTTCAATAATTTTTTGCATCCGCACACTTTTGATTTTATTTTACAACTTCTATTTGTTTTCTTTGGAGAGTTTGGGTAATATGAATTTCATGCATAGATGAGGTTATTTTAAATTGGTTTGCCTCTTTAGATAAAATATTTGAATTAAAGCATAACTTAATCATTTGTAGGTTGATTACATCAGATTTAGAATATTCTGAAGATGCAGTTGGAAACCAAGTGGATTAAGGGTAACCAAAGTATGTCAAATGCCTTGATAGTTGTTGCTTCAACATTTGCTGACCGATTAGCACAACTGTAGAAGACTAATCTTTACTAGCGATCTTAGAACCTTAAAGTGTCTACACTCAGAAGTTACATCGCCCGATCGCTCTTAAAGATCTACTTATTGCTAGCACTCCAATGTACGGAGATTGAAGAGTTGCAGAATAAAATTATTGAATTATTTCAAGCTCTCGTTTTTGAAGAGAGAGGATAATTAACATATCATTTGTAGCAGACATATAATGTACAACAAGTAAATGTCGATATCGCATTAATTTAAATATTTCTGTTGATGCAATGCCACTATTTCGCTAGACTGGACTTCAAAATTTTCAAACGAGACACCCTGAGTTGCATATCCGAGGTATCAAGTACCAATTTTTCAGATGGCAGTCATATTTTCATTGCTCCACTTGAGTTGTTAATAGTGAGTTGAAAGTTTAATGTAGAAACAAATTATCAATATTGAACTGAGATATCGGGCATAGCCTGTGCATAGCACGGGCACGACCCGTCTAGTATTTCCTAATGCTAAAGTTGGGGTTGTAGAACCATCTACTTGATAAACATTCATTTCTTCTCTACTTAGCCACCGTGTTACCTAAAACCCCTATAAATAAGCGCAGGCACGATTAGTGGCTCCCAAATCTACACACCATGACATGGTAGAAACAGCCGCTAAGAGAGTTTTAATGACAAGTAGATGTAAATCACCTGATTTATTATTCAGCTTGGCCAGATAAGCCGAACACCGCTTCTTATGATGCTCAGGCTTCTTGCAGTAATAACACTTGCCCTTAACCTTCTTCACACCAGCAGTTCTACCACCAGCAGAGAGTTTTTTAGCCTTTTTATTCTTCTACCTGCCTCTCGGCTTAGAAGAAGAACCTGCTTTAAAATTCAATGCCACGGGAGGAGCTTGTTGCTTGATAATAGTCACTGCCGACTGCAGCTCATTCAATAAATTTCGCAAGTGACAAATCCTTTTTGTTCATGTTATAATTAAGGCGAAACTGCTGAAAAATGTCTGGCAGAGTCTGTAGGATCATTTCAACCTGCGTATCCTTATCAATGTTAGCTCCAAGGACCTCCAGTTCATTCAGAAGACTGATCATCTTTAGAACATGATCCCTAACAGATGAACCTTCAACCATTTTGGTATTCAGAAGAGCTTTCATGGCAGTCTGCTTAGCCTCACGATTCTGATCTCCAAACATTTCTTTGAGATTTTCTAGAATGTCATAAGAAGACTCCATAGACTGATGCTGATGTTGTAGAATATTTGACATAGATGCCAGAATGTAACATCACGCCATCTCATCAGCCTTAACCCTTTTTCGGTAAGCCTTTCGTTCATCATTCGTAGCATCGTCTCCAAGTTTTTCTGAACACACCTCATCGAACACAAATTTTTACTCTTCAACAATTAGGGCAATATCCAAGTTTCGTTTCCAATTAGCATAATTCGGACTCTCAAGTTTGTTTTGAGTAAAAATAGCAGTAAGGGGATTGAAAGCAGTCATTGTTAATCTGAGAGACAATTAAATAAATAGATCAAAATCAGTCATGTGTTATTGAATATTAAAATTCAAAACACACTACATAAATATAACCCATGCACCTTGAACAACAAATTTGGATGGAAAAAGAGTTATTCTTGCAATATACATATGTAATGACAAATTATTCACTCCATGAATTTAAACAGCTCATGCTCAGATGGAGAGTAAATAGTTAATTTAAGTCAAGTGAATATCAACATTCAATATATACTAGTCCCATTGAAACAACATGCATACTCAGATGGAGAATAAATACAAATAATCAACAACTAGTATAACCTAGTGATTATCCGTAATGATTTTATCCGATATGGAAGAAGACCTATGCCAACGTGTAAAAACATTATATCACCAGAATTTAACCCTGGATTCCATAGGAAATGATCCCTACCACCATTGGATTAAAAACAACTCAAAAATATTTTGAAAAATTTCCAGAAAATTAAAAAAATCCAAAACACAATCTAAACGAACCCGAAAGTCCAAAATGGCTTGCATCATGAGCAAAGATGATGAGTATTGCTCACTAGACCATTTCGCATGGACCTGCCAAGTTTCAGGTCAATCGGAGTCTTTCAACATGTTGACCTTCGATTTTCTGGCCAATTCGGCCATATAGTGACTTTTGCGTTTTTCATGGATTAACAAAATTTTCAGATTATTATAATCAAATATCATCAAAATAATCAGTTATTACATGATTTTCAGAATAAGCATAATACGCAAAACAAATATTCATGCTAAAAATAATGCCATTTTACAGAAAAACAATCTTTGCATGTAATTCAAAACTTGTATATTAACATGATACTACTTTTCATTGTTCATCCTAATCATTTAATTAGACGTGAGTAGGCTATGATACAATTTGTTGGATTATATACCGCAGCGGAAGCAATTACAGTATCATATTCACGTGTAAATTAAATAATTAGCACATATGGAGATTATTCGAGTTACCTCTTGAAGCGTGAACAAAGCAGATTAATCTCAGTCTCCAGTTCTAGAGTTGCAAGTCCGGGATCTCAGTAAAACCTCTACAGTCTTCTACCGTGTTATTCAAATAATATTCGGAAAGGGAGAATTTCGGGTGGGCGAAATTTCAAGGAAGAAAACGTGTAAAAACCATTGCAAAAAACGGCCAGCCCTATATGGAGTATATATAGCTACATTTTTTAAGTTAAAACCATTTTCCAAAACCTGTTAGGTTTTTTTCTTCCACTAAGGAAGGTTTCCTTTATTTTCTACTCTCTCTGTTCCAATTTATGTGAACTTGTTTGACTGGGCACGAAGTTTAGAAAAAAAAAGACTTTTAGAATGTGTGGTCCTCAAGTCAAAAAGGGGTCCAAAGTATTTGTGTGGTTATAAAAGCTTCTCAGAAGGGTAGAATTGGGAGTTTAAGCTAAATTATTTCCAAATTTAGAAAGGGGTCATTCTTTTTGGAACATACCAAAAAGAAAATAGATTCACATAAATTGGAACACAAGGAGTATTATTTAGGCACAGTAGGGACCACATAATTTAATTAACAAGCCTTCCTATTATGGAATTAATTTCAAAATTTTAAAATTAATTTCTACCATAATAAATTACGAATTATTCCACTAAAAATTTGTAATTGCACTCCTTAGTTCAATTTCGAAATTCTTTCATAAAACCTTATTTAACTCCCAATGTTAAGATTCAGATACTAACCAATCAAATTAAATTACTGACAATTAATTTATTGATTACTTCCTTTAGATTTTTGCTTAACTTATTTCATGTGTCGGATACAAAATCCACTGGCCGGATTTACACATGAAAACTTATAAGCTTTCATAAAGGAGTATCATCAATCTCAAAAACTGAGACATGGATTCTATCAACTAATTATTACTTCACCAATGTACATTATTATTGTCTAATTTCCCAAGCTTATTGACCCACAAAGAATCTCGTCTTTTAATAAATTAAAGCAATAAATGACACACACAACTAATAATAATTATATCAAGATTAAGACTATAAGTACATTGAATGGATTAGAAAAATTATTTTATTGAGTCAATATAAAATACTTATCTCTACTTGATCCGTTCAATACATACAAAATGTACTAGCACAAGAAGTTAGAATTAAACAAATCAAGATAAATTACATTTAATCTCGTGCTACAATCATTCCGATGGTTTGTCCAATTCCATTATTAGATTGTGAACATAAACTTTATGACTTATAAGAACCGATTATTTAATCTTTCGTGTATAAGCTAAACTCTATACACTAAATCATCTACTATATAATCAACGGACGCACAGACAAATACATGATCTATTTTAAATAAAACTTTATTGTATTGAATAAATAAATAAATAATTATTCTATAAAGAATACTATGACAATATGCATGGTTTATAGTATATCCTAACACTAACGGTAGAAAAATCTCATACCTGATCAAACTAGATTGAAATGGAAGCTGCAGATTACAACAATTATTTGGAATCTTATAGAAAAACTCAACCGTTGGCTTTGGTCATACCGCATACTTATCCCAACTCCATTTGGATTTTAGTTTTTACAAAAATTGTTACCATTCATATCCAAATGTATAGTGGTGAATAATTTCATTCTTTAGACAGACACACTAAAACATAATATTGAAACAAGATTCTAATACATTATATACATTGGTCACTTAGGAACTTTGTATAATGAGGCAGTTCAATGTACAACCACATAGGGGAGGGGATGAGAGCTGTAAATAATTCTAGTTGCTGCAGCCAACAAAACCAGGAGTAAGATCACATAAAATATCAGGCACATTGGTCTGAACATTGTAGCGCATATTATATTTGCAAACAAAACTGAAGGAGGAACCATGACTATAGACAAAGTTTAATTCATTTAGTCAATTTTAGTGGAACAAATTTGATCAAATGAAAATGGCTGCAACACTTTGACAACAGACCCTGGAACAATAGGATTATTTTTTTGTCTAGAAGAGTAAAAAGAAAGAAATTTTTGAAAAATTGGATGTGTATTTATAATAAGTAATGTCATAAGACATCCTGAAATTTACTGGTGAAAGACTGGTAAAGCATTTGGTAAGCCCAACTAGACCAACAATACCACATGTAGCAAACATGGAACTGCCTTCCTACTGACAGACAAGCATTTGGTAATGTTGCTTATCAGGCCAAATTTGAGAGACAGAAGGCCCAAGAATTAGCTCTTCCTAACTTGTTCCAAGAATTGAATTTTGACCAATAATGTCTTCGTTCTACCAAAGAGAAGACAGGGAGAAACATACCATCTATGATTGAAACTAGCTTTATTCACACTCTAAATGACCAACAGGTACCACCACATGGTTTTGCCTTTGGTGAATAGTTTCAAAAGCTTCAGCTGCAACTCAAAGCCTATCTAAGGCCTCTAGTATAAGTAATCCTCTTTTATTAAACTTCTCATCATCCAAGACAAGCAGTATCAGTTTCCTCCAAAGTTTTCAATTTTATCTAGGTTACTGTCAAACAATGCTCAGTGCTAAGAAACTCATCAAGATGGCCAAAAAATGGCAGAAGTTTGCAGCAATGCAGAGGAAGAGGATTTCACTTCCAAGAAATGTTAATGATGCAGACAACTGCAGTACAACATCATCATCTATAGTTGAGAAAGGCCATTTTGTAGTGTACGCAGCTGATCAAAGGCGCTTTGTGATTCCATTGTCCTACCTGGAAAATGAGGTCATTAGGCAACTCTTGGAAATGTCTGAAGAAGAATTTGGGCTGCCAAGTTGTGGACCTATTATGTTGCCATGTGATTCATTTTTCTTGGATTACATCATTTTGCTAATTAAGAAAGGAGCAGCAGCTGGAGATCTTCACAAAGCATTGCTTTTCTCAATTACTTCAAGTTGTTGTTCAACTTCTTCTTTGCATCAAGAACCGGGAAACCAACAGCTACTTGTTTATTGAGTCATGATCATTATCTTTAGTAAATGATAGATCAAAACAGATTGTATAGCAAGTTAAAAGTAGGCCATTCAAAAAGTAGTTGCACTCGAATCACAAGATCTAAACAAACTTTCATATAATGAGCTTCGAGGAGATCTTATAGCATTCGAGAAAATTCGCCTTAAGAAAACAAACTAGGAAGAAAAGAAGAAAACAATCGCCTTCAAAGCTACAACTAAAAGACCAAAAAATGATATTGATGACGACCTAGAAGCTCTTAAAGAAGATATTTCCATGGTATCAAGGAACATAGATGGTCTAATGAGAAGATACATAAACAAAAGAAGAGGTAGGATGCCCTCAGGAGAACCAGGCAATATAATGAACAAGACAAGAATGACGAAAAATGTTATGAGTATGGAAGATATGGGCATGTTCAAGCTGAATGCCCAAATCTTAAAAGAAAAATTTCCAGAAGATTCAATAAAAATAAATCTTTTGGAAGTTGGAGTGATGAAGACAGTTCGGAACACGAGGAAATAGAAAATTTTTGCTTCATGACAATTCTGGAAAACGACATGAACAAACTCTATGGCTCCTGGACCGATGAAGATGCATCAGACGACGAATGCAAAGATGATAATGAAAATTGTTTTATGAAACGAGGTGAAACAAGTGAGGTAAGACCTTATAATTGTGATAGATGTAATGAATTGCAAGATATTCTTGACCTTACTCTAAAGGAGTCTCAAAAAATGATGAATGAACTAAGGAGACTCAATAGGGAAAAGAAAGACTGGGAACTCAAGCTTGAAGTATGTGAAATTAAAAAAGAAGTACTTTAAGATGAAATTCAAGAATTGCGAATGCAACTTAATGGCATGCGCAAGTCCACCAGTCACAGTTCTGTCAAGTATAATCAAGTGACTTACAAGTTAACTGGAAAAAGACTTGTTAGAACTAAGTCCACAACCACAAGTACTAACACATGTGGAAGATCAAAAAATGGATCAGCCCCTATGTGTCACTACTGTAATAAAAGTGGACATAAATACTCTTACTGTCGATTTCGTAAATCTAATATTTCAGGATGGATTTGGAAACCCAAAAATAATCCTGATCTTAGTAGAACTAACCAACAAGGACCCAAGCAAGTTTGGGTACCTAAAAGAAAGTGATAATTTTGTTTTGCAGGAACACCATAGGAACTGCCGCAAAGAAAAATGATACTTAGATAGTGCGTGTTTCAACCACATGACAGGTGACAAAAACCTATTCAAAGAAGCTACAAAGATAAATGGAGTGAGTGTCAAATTTGGCGATGACTCAAAAGGAAAGATAGTTGGCACTGGCACAATTCCATTCAATAACAATTGTGATATTACTGAAGTGTATCTAGATGGACTCAACTACAATCTCCTAAGTATAAGTCAACTATGTGATTCAAGGTACGAAGTTAAATTCAAGAAAAAAGGGTGTGCCATAGAAGATGAGACAGGTAAAATAATACTCCTAAGAAAAAGGTATGGAAATGTTTATATTCTTGATGGTTTTGAAAATATAGATAGTCACATTTGCTTAGCATCTATATCTGATGATCCATGGTTGTGGCATAAGAAACTTGGTCATGCAAGCATGCATCTTATTGAGAAACTCTCCAGGCAAGATTTAGTTACTAGTCTCCCTAAACTCAACTTTTTTAGAAATCATGTATGTGATGCATGGTAAATTGGTAAACAAAGTAGAAACTCCTTCAAAAATAAAGACATTGTGTCTACCACCAAGCCTTTACAATTGCTCTATATGAATTTGTTTGGACCCACCAAAATTGTTAGTATAGGAGGAAAACGATATGCTTTTGTTATTGTTGATGACTACTCACGTTTTACATGGGTAATTTTCTATCTCACAAAGATGAAGCTTTGAAAAACTTTAAGATCGTTTGTAAGAAAGTTGAAAGAGAAAAGGGGTATTTGATTACAACTATTCAAAGTGATCATGGAGGAGAATTCGAAAGCAGAGCATTTGAAGATTTCTGCAATAATCAAGGATATATCCACAACTTTTCATATCCAAGATCACCTCAACGGAATGGAGTAGTTGAGTGGAAAAATAGAATTCTACAAGATATGACAAGAACAATGATATTAGAATATTCCTTGACAAACCATTTTTGGGCAGAAGCAGTCAGCACAGCCTGCCACATTCTCAACGGATGTTTTATAAGACCTATTTTGAAGAAGAATCCATATGAACTATGGAAAGGTAAATGGCCCAACATAGGTTATTTTCATCCTTTTGGTAGCAAATGTTTTATCCACAACAATCCAAGAAGAGATGAAGATATTTTTTGGGTTATTCCATTAACAGTAGATCTTTCAGAGTTTATAATAAACGTACTTTATCTGTAGAAGAATCAGTACATGACATATTTGATGAAAATAATACTACGGCCAAGAAAGGAATTATTGTAGGTGATGAAGATATCAGTCAAGAAACACCATAGTAAAGAAAAACTCAAAAGTCAACTGATAGGCTAGACGGAGTCACAGAGTCGACTAATGAGCCTGTCAATAGTCTACCAGAATCATAGAAGGAGTCAACAACTCATCGAGTGCAACACGTCCTAATGAGTGGAGAAGTGAACTAGAATATCCTCAAAAGTTTATCATAGGAGATCCAAGTGAAGGAATGAAAACTATGGGAGCTCTCAAGAAAAAGGCAAATGTAGCACTCATCTCCCAGATTGAACCAAAAAAGGTTGAGAAATCTCTAAAAGACTCCAACTGGATACAAGCTGTCACTGCCCAAATCGATGGGCCGCGACGGGTGCCGGAGTCCTACTTGTCAAACACCCCTAAGCATGAATCATAAACCTGAATAACATCTGCTGAATTACGAGAATAATATACATGAAGGAAACCTGCCCAAAAAGGCATATGTACATATACGTGCAACATACGTAGGGCGAGCCGGCCAAGCTTCTATAGACAACTATGTACCTCAAAACTGGAAACTGGCAAGACCACATACTATCTAACTAGACATACTGTCTGCAGACCTCTAATAGAAACATAACTGTACAAAGACAGGACTGAGCCACGTCATACCCATATATATACAAACATATCGTACCAAAATCAAAAACAGCTCCAAATCAAGTGGAGCACGCCAACTCTTGCTGATCAAGGATCCTAAGAAGGGGGACCATCAGCTTGCCTACCTACATCTACGGGCATGAAACTCAAGCCCCATGAAATAGGGCGTCGGTACGAAAAATATACTTAGTATGTAAGGCATGAAAATCAGTACGTAAAAGACATAGATGAAACATGGAATAAAGAAATCAATCTGTAAATCTGAATATTTTTGTAAATTCTAAAATATTTATAATGTCATGCACATGCATATGAATGTCGTGTCATGCATAGGTATAGGTGTACATAATATCATCAAGCCTCTGAGGGCATCCCATCATATTGTCTCGGTTACTGTGGGCAACAACATCAACATATACTAGCTAATCAGGTGGTGAGGCGTATATAAAGCCATAACCTTTTTCCCATATAACATATACGTAAATATACACATATAAATACGTGTATATAATGTCGTCTGGTCCTGGATCAATGTACATGTATAAATGAATAAAATGCATGAAAATATGTTAAAAATCTCAATATTCTTTTCGAATAAGCTTTATCAACTACGTATTGTTTTGAGACCTATGAACAAAAGATATAATAATATGTCATATCGGGAATCAAGAACACAGAGACCCCTAATATTTCTATGAATATAGTCGTTTATGAAAACTGTGCGTTTGCTCGTTTCTTTTGTATAACTTGGACCATGCCAAAAAGAAAGAAGTGATGGTCTTAACATACCTGGAGTAGGAAGAAATCCGTATAATATTCTTGGCGAAGATTGCACCATACTCTTTTAGAACCACAAAATTTTACGTTGCTACGATTCCAACAATTCTCGTTGGAATTAAATTTGGAACCGCAAAATTTGGATGGAATTAAGCTTCTGTTCTTCAAAGTATTTTGAACGAACTAAGCTTTTGTTCTTGTAGTACTGAACTAGGAAAGATATATGTTCCTANAAACTAGGAAAGATATATGTTTCTTGCTTTTGAATTAAGAACGTTTGGTTCTTTTTGTCCAAATGATGGAACAAGACTTGTAATTAAGTCTTATTTGGGAATTTAGCTTCTGTCCTTATAGTATTGAACTAGGAAAAATATATGTTTCTTACTTTTGAATTAAGAACGTTTGGTTCTTTTTGTCCAAATAATGGAACAAGACTTGTAATTAAGTCTGTCTTAGAAATTTCTAATTATCTTTAGATTGCCACCTATTCATGGAATGACTAAGAGTTATTTCCTTAATTTGTAGCCATCAGCCACATTTTTTTTTGGGGAGGGGAGGGGAATTTATCTTATCTCATATTCTAATAATTAACTAGGTAATGTCCCGTTATCCGGTAATTAATCAATTACCTGTATAATTAAGAATTATATCAAATTACCTAAAAATACTACTCATTTTAATATACTTTATACATTACTACAGTAGTCATATGGTACCCTGCATGATACTAGTTCATAATTATNTAACTAGGTAATGTCCTGTTACCCGGTAATTAATCCATTACCCGAATAATTAAGAATTATCTCAAATTACCTAAAAATACTACTCATTTTTAATATACTTTATATATTATATTATCATGGTCATATGGTACCTTGTATGGTATTAGTCCATAAATATCGGGTATTATCGCTCGACTCGTATTTTATCCCAAATCGGCAACCTTCAACGAAACCCGTTTTCTTTAATTCGTGTATCCTTTATCCTTCATGACACTTACTTATCGCTTGTTATAAATAGCATAAATACGTTAACCTCAAGATAATCTCATCCCCGAGTCTACATCGATCAACTGAAGACGAAACTTTTAACGTACGAAAACATGAGATGTAACATCTTTCCCCCCCTTAGAAATATTCGTCCTCGAATGTTCAACTCCCCGGGATCTATATAACTTTGGCAGGGTCGCCTTTGTAACAACGGTACTACCCACTCTTCCTGTAGAAACTCAATAATTTAACGCCACATAGGACCATTATCATCAATAACGATAATTGACTCACACGACCAACGACAATAACCAACACAAGAATTTATACACGTACCTTATGGTTGTGATGTTCCAGTCGGACCCTTCTCTAGAGGAGGAAATAAGTAGGGATATCTAGACCTTATGTCTTCCTCGGCCTCCCAAGTCATTTCTTTCACATTGTTGTTTCTCCAAAGTACTTTCACGGAGGCTACCTCCTTATTCCGTAGCTTGCGGATTTGTCGGTCTAGGACGGCAACCGGAATTCCTTATATGATAAGTCCTCTGTAATATGTACATCACTCATGGGCACCACTCGGGTAGGATCGCCAATGCACTTTTGTACCATAGATACGTGAAAAATCGTATGGACAGACTCCAATTCCGAGGGCAATTCTTACTCATAAGCTACTTGGCCCACTCTCCGAATGATCCTATAAGGCCCAATATATCATGGGCTAAGTTTGACTTTCTTTCCAAACTTCATCACACCCTTCATAGGTGACACTTTGAAGAATACCCAATCATTAACCCTGAACTCTAAATCTCGTCACCGCACGTCAGAATATGACTTTTGATGACTCTGAGCTGTCAATAGTCGATCTTGGATAAGCTTTACTTTTTTATGGCTTGTTGAACCAGGTCTGGCCCGTGTAATCCAGATTCTCCAACATCAAACCACCCTATAGGCGACCTACACTTTCGTTTGTAAAGAGCTTCGTATGGAGCCATCTGAATACTAGAATGGTAGCTATTATTATATGCGAACTCAATAAGCGGTAGATGATCATCCCAGCTACCTTTTAAGTCTATTACACAAGCTCGTAACATATCCTCCAGTGTTAAATAGTACGCTCAACCTGTCCATCTGTCTGGGGATGAAATGATGTACTAAGACTTACTTGAGTCCCCAATCCTTTTT